AGGTATCAGGTGCCTTCTTTGCCCACCTTTAGTCCTGTTTGGGACAGACTGGGAGCAAGTCAGACTCTTTGTCCTGTTATAAAAATACTTGTTTGGCTAGATAAATTCTTGGAGGCAGAGGCTGCTGGGGTTGCACATCTCTGAGGATTCAGACATCCCTATCTGTAGCAGCTAACCACAAAATCCAGCTCTGGGCCACTGCTGGAAGTGCATCCTGCACAGCAGAGAGTTAATTTTCCTGGATATTGCTTCCAGCAGCCTCAGCAGAAGCTGTGCCTGTGCAGGGTTTGATCCAGGGGGCGGGGGTGTGGGATGATGTAATGTTGCCAACTCCCTGCACTGGTGGGAGGAGGTGAGATAAAAAAAAAACTCATCTGCATTCATTTCTCTCTCCAGCTTCTATGCACTGGTTCCATTTACCTGGAAGACTTGGGTTTGTATTTTTCAATAAAATCAGTGGTTGTTTTTCTTCCCCAGGGTAAGGCTGGTGTGGCAGCAGGATGGGGCTAAAGGGAGCATCCCTCCAGTGCTGGCAAGGCTGCACCTCATGTGCATCCCTCCAGAGCAGGGGGGAATGAGCTTTGCAATCCTATTTCTGGAGCAGTCTTGACTGCAGGTGGAGTGTGCATGTAAGCAGAAACGAGTAGCAGTTGTCTACCCCTGAATCATAAGCAGATTTTGAAAAATGTAACACCTATCTCCCTCCAGAAAACCAGCCCCTTCACAGACTCAGATAAGCTCCCATGCCTCAGACCCCTTTGGAGGGAATGCTGCAGGCTGTGTCAGAGGGGAAGGACAGCTTTAAGGTGGCATGTAAGCAGGCAGAGGGGTGGCAGGGGAGAGGGAGTCATTTGCATTATTTGCATTATTATATATTATATATATATTATATAGCACTTACATTTTTAATGACTTACAGTTGGAGCTCTCTCCCAGTGCTGTGCCTCCTGCTGTCCAGGGTGTTTGAGGGGTCTTCAGGGTAGAAAATGCAGGCAGAAAGAATGTTGTTTTTCTAATGTTGTGTAGACTGACACTGTCAGACTGATTCTTTGGTCAGAGTTGTAAACTAGGTCTTCCTTCCCTGCTTTCTGTGACTTCTCTTGGCATGCAAAGACCCATGAGCTGGAATCTCATCATCATCCCATCATCCTTCCAAGGATAATTTAGGAATGTCACATGGAGCAGCAGCTCACAGTACTTACAGCGTTGCATAGTGCTCCAGCAGCAGCAATTCAATCCTGTTTGGGTTCCAGCCAATGTTTGTTGTCCTCCTTGGAAATGGTATTGATTTTGGAGCTCAGGAGCCAATTATGGCCAATGTGATACTCAGCACCTCACATCCCAGGATGACATGTGCTAGGGAAGCTGCTTTGCTTCAGCTGGGGCTGCCAGATGGGCCAGTGAGGCTCTGGACAGACTCCACACCTTGTAAATCACCTGTGCTGTGAGTAAGCAGTTACTCACACCCTAAATGTTATTTGACATGTTGGCTGGGTTTGGTTTGCACAGAGACTGGCATTAGTTTGATACTTGTGCCAGTGGAGAGCAGCCCCACAGGCTTTTGGAGCCCACCAGCACTTGGTACCCAGCATTGCCAGGGAAAATCATCCTGGACTATCACAATGATCACGTCTTGTCGAGGCTGGTGGTGTTCCATGCCAGAGACCATGGATGGAATGACAGCTTGAGCCTGGAAGCCTGCTCTTCCAGACTGTGGTAGCTGTCATGTTGGGCAGCAAATGATGGTTACAGAGCCTGCAGGCAGCTGAACTGCTCCTGGTGCCTTCTGCTAGCAACTCTGCAAAGCCAGAACAGCAAAACCAGAGAAATCTTAAGGCTTCATCCCAATGAAAGGTCAAAATAAAAACCCTGATTATAATAAACAAAGCCCAAATCTCTGATCTGTTATCTGTGTTGATAATGCACTGATCAGAAGTGGGGGAGTGACTGCACTCTGATAAACCAGTTACAAGAGGACCTTGAGAGCCCAGCAGAGAGATTTCTGCCCCATGGAAGGACAAGGGATATGGCAATGCTGGAGCTGTGGGGGCCTGGAGCTCTGTTCTCCTGTGGGGAAAGTGGTGGTGATGGTGAGTTGGTACTGGAATGTGGGTAATTCCTCTTTTTGCACTTTATTTATTACTTTATTCTGCCTCACTGAGTCTGTGCTAATGTTAAAAGTGGTGTTTTCAGCTCTCTTTGGGTTCTGCTTCCTGGGCAAAGCACCATTCCACATGGCTTATTTAACACTGTTTAGATGAATTTGTTGAGCTTTCAGCCTAGGTTTGTTTCATTAAAATTTGGGCTGTATTTTTCTGTCTGGCTGCCTAGTGGAAACAGTGTCCAAAATTGGTATTTCAATCACTTCCTATATATTTTTCCAAGTTAATTGAGTCATGAGAAGCAGATTATTTAAGCAAATGCAATGGCCTTTGTCACACTTCATAGGGCCTGTTAAACACATAAACCCAGAAATTATTAACACTTTGAGTAATTACAAGTGCAATGAGCAAATCAGCCTTCCTTCCCCCTGAGGAAGAGCTTGATGAGGTTTCCTTGGGGCAGCTCATCCAGCACAGCTGCTGCTGGAGTGAAATAGGATAATGCCTCTGTCCACCATGAAATGCTGCATCTTCAGTCACATCCCTGGCCCAAAATTGTATTTAAACCGGTATTTAATGAATTGCAGTCCTATCACCTGTACAAAGCAGGAATATTCTCTTCTGTTTATAGAGCAGGAAGTGAGCTATGGTCTCGCTGCCAGTAGTGAGTTGTCAGTGGGCTTGGGCACACCTGGGATGTGCCCACTGCAGGTGGGATCAGGTGAGAACAGGACCCTGGAACATGGAACTCAGCAGCACTTGTTTTGATCTTTAGTTTCTCCATGCCAGGCGATGCAGGAAGATTGAGTTTGAAGGTGCTTTTCTGAGGCAAAGGGCTGGTAAGAAAATGGTGTTTTGATGCAATAATTTGCTTTAAGCAACATGCACAGGTCTCTCTGACATAACATGCTGTTGATTAATGCACAAACTTACCCCCTCTCCCTGGTGTCTAGTTTTCATGTAAGCTGTGATTATTATAAAAGAAACATTGGCTTATGAAGCTAAACATCAAAATGCAGAGGCAGAGCCCTCAGTGCCCCCACTGTTTGCAGTGTGTATGCTCAGGGTTGTTTTCATGCTACACACAATTGAGGTTATTGAGGAGAGCAAAATGTGTTTGTTATTCAGATCATTTTGGGTTTTCAGTGCTGTCAGTGTCTCAGGGAAGTGGTGCCTGAGGATTCAGAGAGGGTGAGGTTAGGAATTTATTACACTGTGTCTGGGGCTGTACAGAAACAACTCCCAGAGGTCTCGTTGAAGGAGGAAGAAAGGATATTGCATGGAGGAGCCAGGAGTGTGTGGACATGGAGACATGCAAGCACTTGCCTGAAGGGCCAGAGTGCTGATGCAAGAGCAGCAATGCTGGGCTTTATGCTGGGCTGCATTTCACCCCTGAGCTGTGTGTGTAACCTCCCCTGGCACGTCTGCTGTGTCCTTGCTGGCTGGATCTGCATCTGACATCAGGTTCCTTACACCTGATAGTAGATCTAGCTGGGATTATGTATTTGTTAGTCTGGATCTGAACTGTTTGTTTCTATAATTTGCCAAACAAAAATCAAAAATCCAGAGAATCCTAGAGCAGTGTATGCCTTCCTTCCAGAGTCTACATCTGGTTTTCTGGGCTGTTAATACATTAAGGGTTTTCTAAAACCATTAATAATTTCTATTAAATGGTTTAGCTGCAGGTTTTTGACTACTTAACCACAACAGATTAGAAGCAAGTGGAATGGGATTATTCTTAGTATTTTCCATTTCCAAAGTAATTTACATTATTTTAGTATGTGCTTACTTTGTAATCCCTAGTATATATGTTACAGCATCCATCAAATGGAAACAAAAGAGGCCAGAACAGCTTGAGTAAAATGTTTGGAGAAATTTTATGATAGAGATTTAAGTCCAAGAGCACTGTGCTGCTTTGAGACTAAACCAGCAGGAGAATCCCCACAGAATTACCTTGAGAGAGATTTCAGGTTGGAGTTAAGATTTAATAGAAAGTTTGCAGTATATGCAATGGTACACAGAAGACTGGCACAAAATCAGAGTTCAGCCTGGCACCCTGACCAGGCTGCTGATCACAGTCCTGTCAAATGATGCAGTCGTGGTCCTGTGGAAGTTCTGATACTCCTCTGGATCCATCCAGTGGTGGTGGTGATGGTAGTGTCGAGATTCTATCTGCTCAGGAATGCTCAGTACCTCCTCCAGGGCAGGGATTGTCACAATGGAATGATGTTATAGTGTGAGTTGTAGGATATTTTTGGGAGTTCTTGATGGTGTAAGTTACAGCTCCTATTCTGGTGGTGCCCATTGTGGCCCCCTAGCAGAGATTACCCCCTTCAGGATGGATGTGACTGCGCTGGTGCTTCCCCAGAGGGGAGTTACCACAGCCCAGTCATTGGTGTGAAGAAGAAACACTCCCCTGCCTCGAGGGGTTTGCTTCTTCTCCCTTATCTAATTTAACACCCAGCTTGTAGCCTGGGGTGTACAGGTGTGGGCAGCTCCTGCAAACCATATCTGATATATACAATTAACAGTTTGTCAGGAATGAGGGGAGTAAAATACAATTTGTTTACACCCACATTGGCACTCTCCTTTTGTAACCAGGACAGGCACTTAGGAAGGTCAACAGAACTGGTCACTGGCATCCAAGTGAACTGCTGAGCCACCTGCAGTTCCCTGTGTTGTCCTTGACAATCTCTGTGAATCCTGCCATGGAAATTGATGCAATCCTTACAAGAAAGAGTGTCACAGTAGGATCCTGTGAGGCAGCATGGGAAGCCCAGGAGGTTGGGATAAGGGGGCTCATCTCATCCTTGCACTGAGGTCTGTGCTAAGCACAGAGTGGATCTGGCTCTCCCTGCCTCTGAAACAAACCTGTGTCCTCCCCTTGTGTCTCTGCAGAGCTTCCTTCCTCGGAACACTTGAGCGTGGCCGATGCAACATGGCTTGCCCTCAACGTGGTGTCTGGTGGAGGTGGTTTCTCCAGCTCCCAGCCCATCGGAGTGACCAAAATTGCCAAGTCAGTCATAGCACCTCTAGCTGACCAAAACATCTCAGTGTTTATGCTCTCCACCTACCAGACGGACTTCATCCTGGTAAGAGGACATGAGGGGACCAGGCAGAGCTACTGCCACCAGATGAAAGTTCACTTGGGCATTTCTGGGAAGAAGTTGTCTGGGAGTGGCAGAAGCAGCAAAGTGAGCTTCCCCCAGAGCTCTGTTCCTTGTAGTCAGGCCCTCTGACATCTCAGGAGCTTTTGCCATGGGATAAGGCATTTGTTGTCATGGGTGGTCTGGTGTCTAGTGGGAGTGCTGGGCCTATACTGCAGTCTCCTGAAATGCAGATACTGGCAGTACTTGCCACCATCAGACTTTGGTTTTCTGAAAGTTGAAGGAACACAGTGTCTGCTGTCAGGCTGGCTGGTGATGGCCAAGAGGCTCCAGAGTTGTTTTGGGTATAGACAGACAGCCTGTCTTCCTGTCACACACACATGTGTGTGCATTTCCTGAGGAAGCAAGACTGAGGAGCAGGCAGTGCTGAGCTGTTGAAGGAATGCTGGAAAAGAGGTGAAGCATCTCTTGGCTTAGAAATCTCCTCATTCTTTTTACAGTCATAAAAGCACTCTGGTGCTCAATCCTACTGATAACCAAGTGTGTTTCTCTTAAGATACACTTAATTGGTAACTATGCCCTGGCTCAACAGGAGTCCTGTCCACTTTGCTGTGCCCTAAAGTATGTTTACTCCCTCCCCTGCAGTGTTCAGTCATTTGTGGTGCACACCATCACCAGGTAATGCTGTTGTCACCTTCAGGTGCGTGAGCGAGACCTGCCCTTCGTGATGCACACGCTGGCTGCCGAGTTCACCATCCTCAGAGTAGTGAATGGGGAGACAGTGGCTGCCGATGACTTTGGGGTAACAAATGGATTTGTCAAACCAAAACTAGGTAAGGACCAGCACAGGCTCAGCTTGCCAGGGGTTTGAGCTTCCTGATGCATGGGGTGGGAGTCCTGTCTCCTATCTTCAACATTTGGGTGAATATTTATCCTGTTGTAAGATTATGATCCTACAAGCCTATCCCAGTACAGAGTAGGTTCTTAACTTTCTGAGCAGTGCTAGTAATTTTGGCTGAATTTTGGCCTTTTAATGCTAGTTTTTCTAGAGAAGACATGTCTTTTGTAGGACAGAAGGTTAAAGTATAGCTCATTGCAGTTGCAGAAATAATGTTGTGTATGTCTGTAGCCCATAGTTCCATGCTTCAGCATTCCAGAGGAAAATGGCTTCTCTAAAAGCTTGTTCAAGTATTGCAATGATGCACAGAGGAGATTGATTTTCAACTTCCACACTTCAGTGCCAGTGAGGCTCAAGGCCACAGTGAGCCCAGGGCTGTACAGAACCTTAGGATGTTTGCAGACCAGAGGAACAAGTATCAAGCCAAAGAGAACAATCAGGAAAAGGAACAATTTATATACATATGTTTTCCTACAGACATGTGTGTAATTTTTTGCCTATAACCAGACAAAGAAGGGATCAGTTATCATGAAGAGCCACTCATTTTCATCACTGAAGAGCTAACAATCACCTTGTTTAAGAAAATGAGTCTTAAAGAAAAAAGCATCAAGAAAGGGCACAGTGAAACACATGTTGGTAATGCACTGGTGTGCAGTTTGCTGTGTTGCTCTATTGGTTGCATGCCTAAATGCTGGCTGCTTTTCAGCCACTGGCTGCAATCTGTTAGACAAACTGCTGCATGGCAGCTGGTTTTTAATTTTTCAAGATATTATGGCAAAATAGGCCCCTAGAAATGAGGGAAAACAGGATGGACTGCCAACAACCACAGCTGGAGAAATGCCTTCCATAGCCCTGCCTTTTAATGGTGGAAGCCTGCATTTTTTTTCCACTTTTCAGTTTCTCTTGGCACTTCCTTTAGCTTGCCCCAATGCAATGCACCCTGAAAGCCCCTTGGAGCAGAGAGCTGGGCAGGGCATTCATGGTAACACCACCCCAAACCAGGGAGACAGCACAGGAGCAGATTATCCACAGGGCCCTCATTCCCTGTGTGAGAGCAAACAGGGCTTCAGCAACGAGGCACTGCCTCCCAAATGCTGTCAGCTTTCTCTGTGACCATTGCCAGTGCATGGATAACATGTTTGATGGGACAGGAGCCTGCTGCAGCTGTGGCTTCACAGCTGTGTGTGTCTGTGTGTGTCTCTTTCAGTTCAGAGGCCTGTCATTCATCCTCTTTCCAGTCCAAGTAATATGTTCTGCGTCACCAGCCTGGATCCAGATACCCTTCCCACTGTTGCTACACTCCTAATGGATGTCATGTTTTACTCCAATGGGTAGGTCCTGCAGGGAGATGGGCTTCCAGGAGAGCTGTGCCCAGGGTCTGGAGGCACAGATGCCCACTGCTCCTCTGGGGTGCCCAGGGATCTGCTGTGGCTCTGTGCTGCTCCAGTGCTCTGCTCTGAGGGAGAGAGGGAGGTTTCACAGGCTCAAGAGGGTTGTCCTGACAGGTGGAAGCCAAACAGGTGATGGAGGGTGCCCAGAGACACGGGCTGGCTTTGGAAAGCTGAGTGTTTTCAGAGTGAGGTAGGAGTAGCCATGTGGTTGGTGTGCCACAATTGGCACAGGGCTGGAGCACGTACGGCTGCCTGGATTGCTGCTCCTCGTGGCCTGTGGCTCCTCACCCACAGCCTCTTGTGAGCTGATCTTGAGGCAGGGATGGAGAGTTTTGTCAGTTGTGGGGACTGGATAGTTTTCCAGTTTTTATTGCAGAATAAAAAAAAAATCAAATCAGTATAATACAGCAGGACTCAGTGTCACTTTGCTAAGTCAATGTAAGAACATTTCTGGTTTCACTGGCTATATCTGCTTTAAAAACCCTTTTTTGTGCTCTTCTAGCCTCAGTTAATGTCATCCTCTTCTGTTTCTTCAGAGTAAAAGACTCAGTGGTGGGCAACGAAGACTCGGGACACATTCGCTTCTTCTCCTTTTCTCTCATTGAGGGTTACATCTCCCTGGTCATGGATGTCCAGACACAGCAGAGGTGAGCTCTGGTCTTAGAGTGACCTGGACCTTGGTTACTGCACCTGAGAAAAAAGGATGTTCTCAAAGGAGCAGGAAGTAGCTTAGACTGCTAAGTGTTAATTATTTGGACTGTCTTTGTATGGGTGTCATGGACCTGTACACCCTGTCACTTTTCTGAGTAAAATCTGGCATTTTAGTTCCAATGTCTAAACTTTGGACTGGTCTGTCCAAGCCCTTAGTAAAATCACAAATCAATGTGATGTAGGTTTAGCTCACTTTCAAAAGAGGAATACTGGAGCAAAGCGATTTTGGCATTTTTATTCTGTTGTTCATTAGCTGTGCTTACAAGAGCAAAACCCAAAAGGAAAACCTGGTGTAGGTGTTTGAAGTTTTCCTGCTAAAGACCAAAATCAGGGTGGGGATGTCAGTGATGCAGTCCTTGAGCTTTGCTTTTACCCGTGGGTGGGCTTGGTTGGGAGTCTTGTTGTGATGATAATGTCCTGAGTCACCACTGTGCAGCCAGAGCCTGTGACTTGTTTATCTAGCAAGGAAAGAGCCAGCTGGGGAGCCTTGGTGTGTGTCTGTGCTTCTGCAGCTGGGCAGCACGGGAGGCTCTGGAGGCTAGAGGAATGCTGTACTCAGCCCTGCTTAGACATACAAGCTTGCTTTTGACATGCAGCACAGTTTGGGTTTGGTTCTTGGGGGCAAGTCTCCTGCCCCAGGGATTTGTTCTTCAAATTAATAAATTGCCCTCCTGAAAGTTCCTTTGACCTTAGTGGAGTAAACCTTTATTTGTCTTAAGAGGGCTGGAGCTTCAGCCTGGGGTGTGGGAAATCTGGAGGGCCAGTTCTCTCTCACAGGCTGCCTGCTTGACCTTGGGCAACTCTCTGAGCCTCTTTCCCCTGCTAAGGAATAGAGACCTCTGCAGTGGTCCCAGGGACCTTCCAGGATAGTAGGGAAAAAGCACTGGTGGTGCTCAGACACAAAACCAGTGGTTACCATTGACATTCCTGAGAGAGGTATGGAAACATTCCATCCCTAGGTGTTTCCAAATGCAGCTCAAATCAAACCTTCACAGTCCCAACATTTGTAAAGGTGGGTTATGTTGCTTAGAATTTTTTTCCATGCCTCTCTGGATACCTGTGCCCACCTCCAGGAGCAGATGCTGATTTGCCATAGGATTCCTGGAGGGTCAGGCAGGTGCATCAGCCTCACCTGCCTTGAGATTTCCCAGCTTGCCCTAGCTACTGCCCATTATTGCTGGCTTCAAACATTTCAAGGATGCAGGAAGAGCAGATCCCCCACAGGCAGAATCTGACACACTGCTGTGTTTTAATTGCTATGTTTGATGTTTGGTTTTTGTTTTTTACAGATTTCCTAATAATTTGTTGTTTACAAGTGCATCTGGTGAACTCTGGAAGATGGTGCGGATTGGTGGGCAGCCTCTTGGCTTTGGTAAGTAACATTTGGAGGATCAGCTGGTGTGCAGGCATTCAGTCACCTCAGGGCCTTCAAGGGGCATGGAAAAATCCATCTGAGGCTGATGCTTTTAAAGAGCCAGCAGTGACTTTGTGAGCTGAGATTTTCAAATAGAAGCCTGACTCCTGTTAAGTTTGAGTTCTGAATATATTCCTGAAAGTGCTACATGCTTAACAGTTCCATCTACATTGCATTCATCTGCTGAGGAACCTTTTGAGGTGGCTACAGCTGGGGCTCTGGATAAAGAGAAAAACTGGAATAAAAAGTGGGATGGAAATTCATTGAAGATTCCTGAAATTGGTGGTCACAAAGCACTGTCATACTCCAGTGCAGCTGGAGCCCTGTGCACAGTTCTGGTGTCCCAAAATAGGAAACACATGGAAGTGTTGGAGCAAGTGCAGAGGGGGCCATGAGGTTGGTGAGAGGACTGGAGCAGCTCCCCGATGGAGACAGAGGGGGAATTTAGGTCAGATATCAGGAAGAAATTCTCCCCTGTGAGGGTGGTGGGACTCCAGCACAGGTTGTCCAGGGGGCCTGTGGTGAGCTGCAGCCAAGGAGCCAAGTGTCCAGGCTGACTAATGGGTCAGCATCTCCTCTTCCAGAATTGCAGGACCAAGTGTTCAATAACAGAGAAAAATGGATGTTAAGAATATATGGGGCTGGGCTTTGTGCTGTCTTCTTGACATCGTTCAGTGCCTTTCTTTGGATCTCTAAATCATTCCAGTTCTAATGGTTTTGTGCCTTTGGAGAATGTTTGTTTCTCTGTAGTAAAAAGCATGTAATAAAATGAAACACACCATGTATTGTGGCCCAAAAGCTTGATTCTGTGAGAAAGAATACATTTTATTACAGAGATTCCTTCTGATTGGTGTTTGTGAAGACAAACTTCTCCATATGTAGGCATGGAGCTGCTGAGCTCTGAGACTTTTGCAAGCCCCTCCAGACAATATTTGATTTTTTATCTCCCCACAGATGAATGTGGAATTGTCGCTCAGATTTCTGAGCCTTTGGCCGCTGCTGACATCCCAGCCTACTACATCAGTACTTTTAAGTTTGATCACGCCTTGGTGAGTATGAACACAGCTTCTTTGGAGTAGGGGAGATCTTTTCCTTAGAAAACTCATTATGAGAATGTCACTTCCCATCTGGATAGCTCGTTGGAGTGCCTTTGCCCCAGTGTAGCCCAGCTAACTCCTGTCTCAGCTCCTGGCTGTCACTGCCCTGGGGGAGAGGCTTCTGAAACAAGCCCGGCCCTACCCAAAGCAAAGCTGTGTTAGTGAGTGTGGTCTCAGTCTTTAGAGACCTGCAGGGATGGAGACTTCACAACCTCCCTGAGCAGCTTCTTCCACTGAATCTCTGTCTTTTATTAGAAACAGCCACAAACCCTTCCATCACTTCCAACAACAGTTGCAGGCTGCAGACGCTCAGGACAGTGCTGTGACAACCCACCCTTGAGGAGAAGGTGCTTCCTTCCCCCTAAGAGTGGGTCATCAGAGGTGCCTTTGTGTGTTGGGAACTTTTTGGACAATCTACAGTAGCAGACCCCTGCCTTCATCCCTTGGTGCCTGCATTGTCCTAACCTTTGCTTTGTGAGACCCAGCTATTAGCTCTGCTGTCCCTACATCTTATTTCTTGGTAAACAAGCAATGATTGCCAGCACAGCAAGAGAAGGTGATTTTGAAGCAGATAAGGTTGTTCCCATGTTTATTCTCATGGGTGCCCATAAGCAGCTGCAGCACAGTCAGCAACATGAGAGTCTTGCCATTCTTGGAGAGCTCTCTCCATTTTTTATACTGATGGATATTTTACTTTCTAGGCCTACCTCTGCTCTTCCTTTGTGAACAAGAGACCCTCAAAAATGAGGAATCCCCTAGAAAGAGAAAATGTTATGCCTGAAGCCACAAATGGGATGGCATTTGTCTTGGAACCCATTTCCCTGGTCCTGAAGGAGAGAGTTAGCTGCTTTATGCTATTCATTTTTTTTTCCTTAAATGTGCCTTTTATTGCATTATACTTCTCTTTCCATCACTTGCAAATTGATTATTCAGGTCCTACCTTTGACCTGTAAAAGCTCTAGTGAGATCAAAGCAGGTTTGGGGTTTTTTTAATTACTTTGTTTTTTCACAGTTGGTGTGAGCCATTCACAGCTGATAGGTCATGTGTGTAAAGAGTAAAAGTAAATATTATTTCAGATAGCAAAGGTCAAAGTGTTATATATGTTTGTCTTGTTTTTTTTTAATATTAACTGTGCTGATAAGATAAGCTAATAAAACACCATTTAAGAATCAATACTGTTAGCTTTCCCTCACATTTCTGCCCATTGTGTGGCCCCAGGTGTGTGCATTTTGTGCAGAGCACAAGGTGCAGAGTGCTTTACATGTCAAGCCATATCTGGAGAGCTCATCCCTATCAGTCAAAATAGATATGTAGCTGAAAACTTATTCCCTACAATTGTGATGACTCTGCAGGCAGCTCCTCCTTCTCAGAGTGCCTCATCCTGCTGCCTCCAGCCCCCACAGATCCTCCCTCCGAGCAGCTGGCAGGGGGTGTCCTTGTACATGGAGCCCTTCCTCAGTGAACTTGAGGTGTGAGCAAAAACCAGCAGTGTTTGCCTCCTTGGGACTGGCCTGGCTTCGCCTCCTGCCTCTCTTTTCCTTGTCAAACCTTTTGCTGGAACATGACCTTTCTCTTTGTTTTCTTGCAGGTACCTGAAGAAAATATAAATGGTGTGGTCAATGCACTCCAAGTCAGTCAAGCTGAAAAGCATTAGAAATCTTCTGAGCTGGTTCCAGATGCTTTTTATTATTCTAATAATAATAATTACTATTATTATTATTATTATTCTTTTTTTCTCACAGTATTTCTTGAAAAATCTGATTACAGAGAGTGACATGAAAAGAGACTGTGGAAAGTTGAGCAGAAACAGCTCCAATAAGCCTTTGTTTTAATTATTATTATTATTATATTATTATTATTATTATTATATTATTGTTATTGTTATTTTATTAAATTTATGAATGAGGGGCAGGAGGAAAGGGAGTTCATATGGTTTTCTGATGTTCAGCTCCGAGGTGAAGTGTACCCTGGCTGTGCTCTCAGTGTGGAAGGAGCTGCAGCCGATGGCAGCACCGTGGGGATGCTGCTGAGAGCAGTGGGATGGGCCAAGAGCAGATGGACACTGGCTCAGAGAGCCCTGAAAACCAGAACCAAAATGAAATGTGGAATTTCGCATTGTACTGGGTTGTCTCCCCGCATCAGACTTCCTGAGGACTGTCCATCTTGCCTGTGTTGAGATAGGATGCAAAGGGTTCTGTTTCCCCTGACAGAACAGTTTGGTTTTGGAAAAGGTGAAAATACCCAGTGGTTTGACATTTCCCCTTTTTCTTCCTCCCTGCAGTCAAAGCCTGGCTGCTCTGAAAAAGCCTGGGCAGGGGGAGCTCAGCTCTGGCCAGCTCCTGGCAGGTGGTGTCACCCAGACTTGTGTCTGCATTGAAACTTGGCTGGTTTGGGTCAATTTTTTCCAGTCACTCCCCCACTGCTGCCATTCCCCTGCTCCAGGACAGCTGTTGTCCCTTATCCCACATCAGAGCCTTCCCCCAGCCCTTGTTCCCCAGGGCCAGCAAGAGGAGGAAGGCCTCTTTTCTCCTGTCCCCTCAGGCTTTTTCCCACCCAGTGTGCACACATGGGGAAATAAAGGATTGCCCAGGGTCCCTGGGCAGCTGCTCTTGCACATCCCAGGCCTCCTTGGCCACAGCAGCCTCCCCCTGCCAGGGCCCTGAGTCTCGTGGGGACCCTCCTGCAGTTTTTCATCAGCTCCTGCATCACACAGGTGGAAATTGCTGCTGGCTGGGGAAAGTAGAATGGTGCTGAAAATACCTGCTAGCAGGTCATGTCACAGGAAGATGATGAGGCTTTTCCCATGGTGCAGCAATAGTGTGTTTTCTTCTGGCTTTTACCAGAGCTGAGGGCCAGCAGGAGCCAGGCTGGTGGCACCGTGTCCAGGTGTGGAGAGCACAGCAGAGCCCAGGGCTGGCAGAGGAGTGTTACCCAAGAGTGGGTGCCAGCAGTCTGTCCCACGGGTGACCTTGCTTTTGTGATTACCAGCCCCAAACATATCTTGCATTTCTTAACTTCTTCCACTTCAGTCTTGACATAAGGAAATGGCAGATCTTGCCATTTTCCTGAGGGCTTTGCAGAGGGCTTCAGAGACAGCCTCTGGCAGGATTTCCCTGAGGCTGTGCCAGCTGTGAGCCAGGGTTTTGCATTAATCTGGAGGCAGTAAGCAGGCACCTGGGATTGTGCCATGGGTGTGGTTTGCATGTGTGGGACATGCAAACACAGACACAGCTAATTGATTGCTTCTGCATTCACAGTTGTGGTTTCTGATGCTGCTGGATTCAAACACTGAGTTTCAAATCTAATTTTACTGTTCCTTTACATGGGTTTTTGGAATTGTCCCATGACATGTTTATATTCACTCCAGATTTCTGGACTAAAGGTTTGTTCTAGAAGTGGCACTGTGCATCTCTGGATGTTTGTTTGGAAAGATGCTTTGGGACACAGGCACAGGCTGCACAGTGCAGTGTTTAAAGTGTTCAGAGATGTTTGCTGTGGCTCTGCCCTGTGTTGTGGGCACTGAGCTGGAGTGGGAGCACTGGCAGTGGTGGCTTTTCACCCCATATTTTATCAGTTACTCCTTGGGAAGGCAGATTGGCAGCGTGGCTGCCAGGGAGGGCAGCCTTGAGTTGCCAGCCCAGGTTTGTGGTCAGCTGAGTTGAGCCTGAGTTCTGTCTGTGTGCATGGATGGTGCCACCAGGACAGAGTCATCAGGACAGGGTCTTCCTTTTGCTCTGGGGTTTTGTCAACCTTTGGGAGATGTCAGTTTTGAAGATGCTGCTTCCAGAGGACTTCAATGTGGATAGGAAGGAATTAACTCCAAACAAGCAACTTTACTGAGCCTTAAATGAAAACAAAAAACCATAGGTTTTAATTTTCTAACATTGCACTCAGGCTATTTTAGAGGCTGATTTTTGTATCTTTTTTTTTCCCCTCCCCAAGGGAATCAGCCTTATATTTGTGAAATCTGTAGAAAGCTTTGTGGTATTTTGAACCTTCCAAAGGAAAGTTGATGTCCCAGCACGGGACAGTTGGCCTGAAGAATTCACAGGATGTAAAATGCCATTGAGGGCTTCTGATGCTGCCATCATCCTTGACTTCACCTTTTAATTTCCTTTTATTGTTTTCTCCTGACATCCAAGGAGATTGTTTCAGACAACTTGATGCTTTCCCTTTAGTATTCCCTTCATATTTGTTCTGGTGGGAGCTGGGATACTCCAAATGTGGCCAGAATTGGTGGAACCTTGTCCCTGCACCCAGCCTGAAGTCAGGATCAATGCAAGCTTGCATAGTGAGATCTGCCCTGCAGAAAGGGGTCTCTTTGTTAAATATTTTCATAGTGATAATAATACCACCACACTATTAACACTACAGTGCTTAGAGAACCCAAAGTAGGGGGCTCTGAACTCTCAGCACCCAGCCTTTGGGGTAGGGAAAAAGTTGAAGAGTCTTTTCCTTTGTTTAAATGTCTTGTGCTAATACATCTGAGCATCCTGACATTGTGCTGCTCACTAGTGTGTGGATAAAGGAGGAACATGGCTCAGTGGGACATCCAGCTGCCCATGGCCCTGCTAATGAGGGATGGCCTCAGTGCTGCAGGGGGGTTCCTGCCATCCTTGTGGAGTCCATACACCCACACAACTGTCCAAGAGCACTGGATTGTCCAAACTCCTTAATTTAGAGGTGAGCAAGGTGAATGGGAGGTGATGGGTCCTGCAATGGCACAGTCAGTGTTCACTGAGTGCAGGTGTTCCTGTCAGCACTGGATCATTGGTATTTTCTGTTAATCAAAAGGGAGAAATTCTTTATTTGGCCTCAGGCTGAGCATTGCTGCTAATTCCTGAAAGAAGGTGTCCCCCAACAACATTCAGTTATGGACAAGAAATAATTTTCTGATGATGATTTCTTCTCTCTCTGTCACTTTGACTCTTGTGGCCATCTCCAGTAAGCAGCTTAAGGCATCTCACTTACCTGTTCCAGTCCTGCCTGCAAACATTGGATTGGATTAAACTTTTCTTATCTGCAGGAGAGTAAAACCCAGTAATCCTTTGCCAAAAATATTTACACTTAGCTTGTGCTGGGGTGTGTTTACATTGGCTAAAACGTGCAAAGCTGCCTCCAGCTCTCCCTACCTTCTCCCCATGAGTGCATCTGTCTGTCTTGTCTGTCTGTCCCCTGCCACGTGCCAGGGGCCAGCAGTATCTCTCAGGCATCCTGGCAGCACTGAACTGGTACAGAAACAGTCTGTGCATCCTCAGCATCCTCAGCAAGGCTGTGGGACCTTCCCAGGTTCCCTGGAAGGGAAACACTTGACTGTGAAGGTAATCTTGTGTTACTTTGCCATCCTTGGCCTCCTTCTTTATTTAATCCTTATGAAGCACAGCTGGGTTGAGTTACCAGCTCCAGTTAGCAAAGGTGTAGGAAGGAAAGGGGTTCTGCAGTGTGAGACGTGCACTGGATGCTGATCAGCAAATCCTGGCTGCAGCAGTTAAAGCCTCTGCAGATGCTCTGGTGAGCACAGAGCAGTGCACAGCCCCTGCTGTATGAAGGGAAAATGGTTGAAGTATGGATCAAAGTACATTCTCATTTTAGGATATGAATTTTAGGGTTCTGTACCTCTCTGGAACATACATAAGCCAAGATCTTTTCTTGGTGTCTCTAGACAGCACTGGTCATTTCAGATGCAAAGTCTGGGAATGAATGTTGCCATGTTACTGCAGATTCCATGGAACAGCTTCCCCTGCTCTGTAATTCTCTTGCAGCCATGACCTGTGCTTCTGCATGCTCTGAGTTTGTGGAGGGCCTGGCCACAAGGGACCACAAACCTCTGGCATCTCCTCCCAGCTGAGAGTGTCTAAGTTGTGTGGCCAAGGTGGAGGGAGTGGCCCAGGGATGGCAGGCACACAGCTCCTCCCCTGCCTGCTCAGCTCCAGCATGGCCACAGCCAGCCCAGCTCAGCACCGTGCCAGCTGTGTGGAGCAGGAGAGTTCAAAAGAGCTTTTAATGCCTTGGGTTCCCTTTGGGGTTTGTTTTCATCCAATTTTAGCTTTCTGCAAGATTCTGTAAATGAATAGCCTGTCTTGTTCCCTTACTGTTAATTCCTTATATAACCCATTCTCTCCTTGTTTTCATTAGAATTAGAGAGTGGGTGATCACCTCAATTTCCCTGCCATGTTCACCTGCTCCCACCACCGAGCCATGCCAGCAGGTCCTGCTGCTGCTGGGATTTGGGTCTTGGTGCCACAGTGCCCTGGAACACCTGCAGCCCCACCTGCAGTGTCTGGTTGTGGCTGCAGAGCACAGCACGGGCTGGTCATCTCCTGCCAGAAGGGTTTAGTTCTGAGGGAGCACTGCACAGAGGGAGGAGAAGCCTCATTGTTCTCATCAGTGCTTTGGGCAGATTTTTAGTTTGGTTCCTCTGGGCTAAGGTTCAGCGAGCCATCACCCTGCAGGCTCACACTGCACCGTGCAAGGTCAGGGTTGCTAGGAGGGGTTGGCCCTTCTGGGGTCACAGTGCAATGCCACTTTATTAGTGCCTCAAGTGGCTTCAACAAGCCTGAGCATTTCTCTTTATCCCTTTTGTAAGGACTCCAAAGGAGCCCATATTCCCTCCAGACACCTAAACAACACTAACCCAAATTTCCAGAACTGCCAAGACAGCAGAGATACTCCTGGTGCAGAAGCTGCCCAGCCTGGATCGGGGTCTGTCTCTCTTCCCTGGCTGCCTAGAACAGCTGTGCTGGGCAATCTGGGAAGGAAACACAAATCTTTAGGACTTTTTATTTAATAAGTTATTTATGTATCATTTGCTCTGTAAGTGAAATACCACTTTTGGCCTCAGACACACACCAAATAGGCTGAAGTGGGGCTGGGAACCCCAAACTCTTGCAGCCTCTCCTCCCTGCTCACCTCTCAGAAACCCCATGCAGCCTTTCATTGGGGAGGGTGGAAAAAATTGTGTATTTATTTCCCTTTAATTACCAGATCTGATGCAAAGAGACAGGGTGGGGGAATCTTCCCCATGCAGGGGCCTTTGGTACAGCTCCTGCTCTGGGCTGCAGCCATGGGAAGGCTGCTTGCACCTGCCCTGTGGGCAGTGCCCATGGGCTCAGTGGGGCCAGGCCCTCCCCGTGTGGGTGGGGAGATCCTGTAAGTTTGGGGGGACAAGGCACAGAGGAGCCTGAATGCATCAGTTGCCTTCATGAGCTCTGCACGAGGCAGGATGTTACACCACCAGGCACAGGGAATGGTGGCAGCAGCTTGGGATCATGCACTGGACATTGTGTGGAGCTGAGAAGTGGCTGCTTTGCTTTCCCAGCAAGTGCACACGCTGCTTTTCTTTGCTGGTCTTATGCTGAAAAGCTGAGATTTATGTACTGTATGAAAAAACAAAACAGAAAAAAGAAAAAATCCTAATGTTCCAAAATAAATGACAGTATATTTTGTACTTTGTAAAGTAATTAAACCGAAAAAGAATAAAAAGTGAAACTTATGCTGTCTGCTTTTGTACTGATCAAACTGATGAAAATAAAGCAGAGCTTGGCATTGTCTGCAAGATGTAACTCTCATTTCTTTCACCTACAGCCATACTGGGTGTCACACACACACACACACACACACACACACAGATCTCTCTGGTGTCCAGGTCCTGTCCCTGGGTGTTTTGTACCCCTACAGATGAAACCCACCACCCTCCTCCAGCTGTTTTCTGGAAACCACCAAACCTTTTCAGTATAGTGTAATCCATTGTTTACTTTCATGATCAAAACAGTCATGTAAGAAGTTCCTGTGGGATTATTAATATGGAATGCAGCCTTAATACAGAGCACTGCCTCAAGGGTTTAATCCAGTAAAACAAAAAGCTGAATAAAGCAGCACAGACACTGCCCCACAATCTCAGCACTGCCTACAACTCCCCACAAAAACAAATGTCATCTTAAGGTAAACAACAGGACTGAGGCTGTTAAACTGGTGTCCAGACCCCAAAGATACTGATACCTTTCCACAACAGTATTTTTCTTACCTCACCTGCCCAGGCCCACACCTTTGAGCAGGAGGGGCACTGGAGGGTGATGGAGGAGATTCCATCCCCTTGCAAAAAATGCTACAAAAATAGATTTTTATGAGTTATGATGAAGCACAGTGAAGTAATATTGTTTCTGGAGTATTTTGAATGCTGAAGGCTATTAGGTTCTCTGACTCATCTGTTTTTGAAGGATCCTGTAAAGAAAAGTCTGTTGTAACACAGCAAGTGCCTAAGATAAAGATTATCTTACAGGTGTTGGTGTGTTTTATCCCCAGCAGGGCAGTCTGCTGACAGATGAGACCAGCCTTGCTGTGTGGGGGCTGCAGGGCAGCCTGGGGGGGCCATGCTGGATTCAACTCTCAGCAGGGAATTGCCAGGACCCCTTGGGCTGGTGGGGGGTGGAGACCTGAATTTGTGCAGGTGTGCTTGGGCCTCACCCAGCCTTCCTGCAGCTCCTCCAGTCCCCAGCCACTGTGGCACCTCTATCAGGCTGCCTGGAGCTGTTTGTGCACAGGGCTCTGCACCAGTGGACCCTCCTGAAGCCCTTCTGGGCTATTTTAAGCCAAACACGCCAGTACAGTGCTGATCTGAGGGCAAATCACTTGTGTAATCAATGCCAAATCAAGCAGATTATTCCAGTTCTAATTTGAGCTGCTCCCCATGTGCATCCTTGGCCCATACACTCCCTCACTGGAGGTATATTTAGGGATGCTGGGATATTTTGGGCTGTCTACTTTGCCATACTTTGAAGGACAAAATGCTGCAAAGTTGCAGTTCACAACGGTGGTGACCTGAAGCTACCCCAGCACAGCTGGGCTCCTGTATGGCCCTGGTCCTGCAGGAGAAGCATAAGCCACACATAAGGTAGGATCTGCCTTCAACAGACAAGGGGTGTGGTGGGGAAGAGGGTATTTTCATTTTCTGAGCTGAGACTGAGCCCATCAGCAACAGCAGGAGCGGCTCCCAAAGAACTGCTTTAGAAAGGGGAAAAACTGCTGCACAGCAGCAGCTGAAAGAAAGGAGTAAGAATCTGTGACAGACAACCATGATACAAAGGTCAGCAGAGGAGATGAAGGAAGCAGAAAAGTCAGAAGCAGGGCTGAGCCTGGGAAGAAGGGAGAGGTGTGGGAAAGGTTAGACTTTTCTGTAGTTACTCTAACTACACAAAAGAGTGCAGGTTCTGTGTGTAGTAGTGTGTGTGTAGGTTAGACTTCTAGTTAGGCATACTAATTCCTCATTACCCTGCTCTGTTGCACTGGCAATAAAATAATTTCCCCAACGTGAGTTTGCTGTGCCCATGATGGTAACAGCTCCCCTGTCCTTGTTCAACCCACATGTTTTCCTTCAGATTCTCTCTCCCTGTCCTGTTGATGGGGGAGGGATGACAGAGCAGGCTGGGGGGCACAAGGTCCCAATGCTCCCCCCACACTGTAACAAAAACATGGGCAAGTGCTGGTGCTTGCCAGACTGTTCTCACTGCCACTAACCTTGTTCCCACTAAGCAACATGTCTGAGAACACCCACAACCACTATAATGAAGGCACAAAAACCCCCCACTGCGTTAAGCCATACAACACTTCTTTTTAGGGCTGGAGACCTCATTGGCATCTCATTAACACAGAATTTGCAATTTATTGTACAGCAAGAATGCAACACAAGGACTCAACCCAGCTCTTCAGAAGGCCCAGCCCCAAGGTGCACCAGGAAACAGCTGTGAATGAGAGCAGCTCCCATGAGGCCAACAAGACATGCCTGGGCACCACACACTGCACAAGTTGCATAGAATAAGGTATAAATTAAAGCCAACCAAATGGGAATTCAGAGTAGTGAAGGTCTGCCAGTTTCATGGTAGCTTTTTGTTCTGCCTTACCCACCCAGCACTGCGTGTTACAGACTACGCTATCAGTCCTGCAGGTATGGAGCCAGTCCAGCTGACAAAAGTGGTTTCTTGTCACATAACTGACCCAAAATACTGCAGTTCAAATGCAGAGCCAATCAATGCATGAGCAAATCATGCTCAACAATATTCCTATTACTACTGATAAAGATTTTATAATCACTTTATTGAAAACCTACTAGCTTGGATTCCACCTAAACAGTTTGCACACTATCCCACACAGAGAGAAAAGTCACAACTCTGCCTGATGTTTGGAGTGTTTCACAGGAGGCAGTTCCCCACACTTGGGTGTGAGATTGGGAAGGTGCCTGCTACAGATACAGCTGTTGCATCCCATCTCTATCAGCTTACTGCTAAGAAGGTACCAAGGAATGTAGCTCTGCTTCTTACCCATTCCTTCCCCTGCTAGGCAATCCTGAAATCCTCAGCTAATTGCAACTGAGAGCCACCATACCTCTGAAAACAGAAAGAGTGTAGGGGATCCAAAAACAATCAAAGGCAGTGATGTGTGATCAGCACAAGGAGACAAAAGGTACCTGAGGGGTGGTGAGCACTGCTCACATCCATGCCTGAGCACTGATTTTGCAGGCAGCTGATCAAGGGCTTTGTTTCCAGCCTCCCTCAATAAGCTAGATTGGCTTGTCACCATCCATCTGTCCTGCAGCACAGAGCCTGCTGTCTTATTTGATAGTACTTACCCCTGCAAACAGGCTCTCACTCTTTGAATGTGTTCCTTTGGTGCTCAGTCTTTAGCACTAATACAGAAGGCCTTCAGCAGCCCACAGACACATCACTGCCTCCAGGCAAGGGCTGTGCATTCAGTTTCTGCACAGGGTAACAGCCTGGGCACAGGGCAGATGAGGATGGCCACCCAGGACAGCTGTGCTGGGCTTCAAGACATAGCATGACCTCTCTTCCACATAATAGTAATAAAAAACCACCCAAGTTTTCCCTTGAGAAATAGTTTGGCTCTGCCCAACACTGACTCCAGAACTGGTGACTGGAAATGTCCATATTTCAATGTCCTGTGTTGTAGATTTCATCCCATGCCAGTCTTCCTTAAGGGAGATGCTCTGCATGCACAGAGGGGCTCACCAGCTTGGGGCTGGGCCTCAGATTCTCTGGGAGCTCATCACAAAGGAGCAAGAGCACTCCCTGCATCTCCATGCTCCTCGGGGAACGTGCTTCCTTCCTGCAGCCAGGCCACAGCATTTCAGCAAGGCAGGGATGATAAGGCACCCAGACGCTGCTTTGGCTGTCTCTGCTCACAGTCACTTGGTTCCATAAAATGAGTTTTCCTTTCCAAGAAGCTCAAAAACAAGCCCTGGTACAGTGCTGAGACCCAGCAACATCTCTAGGTGAAAGACCTGACCATGCTTACCATATGATCAACTCCACACGCCACATCCACCACCTCTCCGGGTACAGTCACCTGGGTGAAACACATGAGACTGGGTTATTGATCAAGCTGGAACTTTGTACCTGGTACTTCCTATTTCTCATCCTCCTTCTGCTCAACATGCCAGCTAGTTTCACAGGGATTTGTACCAATGCAAGTGCCAACTTGAAAGCACAGAAAGAGCAAGATTCAGCACAGGCAGGCTTGTGCACTGAGCTGTGAAATACTCTTTTTCCTTCACAGAAGCACATAAAGCTTTGGAAGGAGAAAGAAGAGCAGGCTCACTAGCAGACAGTGAGGAGATTGTAGCCTCAGCCCATCTGTTCAGCAGCAGGAGCAGCATGACTGAACAGAGCATAATCTAGACATTAGGAAGAGGGTCTGCCCATGTACCACAGGGATTTGCCTCATCTTTCATCATCAAGAACTGGAACAAGACAAAGATTCAACTCACCCTAAGGCAGTTTGTGCTTTGATGCCAATAGACCAGCGCCTCACTCCTGAAGCTTACTCACTTAAAACTGACTTCAAACTTGAGGAAAGCAGAGTCTAAAAAAGCAAGCTTTTCCTTAGAGGCAAGACAGAGGACAGCAGCTAGTTGTAGGGCAGGAGGTCACAGACAAGGATCCTGGCATATTGCCACAGCACTGTCAGACAGGAGCTGCCTGTCTGAAAGGGCATAACCCCCAATGTCCAGCCACACCTGGGGAAGCGAATTCAGAAATTCCACCCAGCCACAGCAGTGTGATTTTAGGCAAATGTTCCAGAGTTGGTCTGGTTTTGTTCATTTTTAAACAAAGAAGAAAGCATACTACAGAAACACATTTACTGCAAGTTCAGACACAGACAGGGACTCCAGGGTGGTCCAACTGATTGCCTCCCTCATCTCCTACTTGGCCTTCATGGAGACCAGAAGCATCTGTTAGGCTGAATGCTGAACTCCAGAAGCAAAATCTCTTCTACATCCACTGAGTCTGGCTCTCAGAGGCATCTGGGGGGAAGCAGTGGAACTGGAAGCACTGTGAAACAGCTATGAACACAGCTGAGTAAGGATCTCCTGCTGTAACCTGACAGCCAGTCCAGTGATCCACCACCACAGGTGGGAAGGAAGTCCACTGCTATGTGGACCTGCAGCCACTACAGCCCAAAATGTTCACCAGATTTAGGTGAGTAATGACTTGGACAGATGACCAATAGTGCTGGCTTTCTTTGCAGCACATATAAACAGAAGCACAGGTTAGGAGGGGAAGGGAGAGGCAGTAGGGGTAGCAAGCAGATGATGGTGGACAGGACGGAGATGAGAACTGTTCAGATGTGGTGGCACAGCACCAGATGCTGTTCTAGGATTCAAAATCATTACTGGCATAGCATACTAAAAGGTTTACTGAATACCTCCCTTCCCAAGCAGACTACACAAGGACCTCTGGAAAACAAAGCACTTCTACAGTCATCTTAGGCTTCCACTCCTTTCAGAATTACTCAACAAAACCACACAGCAAATGATGGTCCTTGCCCTCAGGATAACAAAAACTAGCCAAACAATATTCTCTTGGCCTTAATACCACCATCCTTACCCTCCATGGGAAATACTGGTCTTCCATTCTTCCAGTTCCTAGGCACCCTCTTAGATTCTTCCCCCACACAAACAGTTCTCCTTTGTCTACACAGGAGAAAAAAAAACAAAACAGAAGAGAATAAAGTCTCTAAAAAGGAAGAATTCTATTTGTGATGCTGGCAAATGTGGCTGCAGTGTTTCTGGGAGTACACAGGGTGATACAAGCAGTATGACAAATACCAGATTTACTTCAGGGTACAATAAATGTACTTGCATTTGGAGAAAATTACACCTAATGAGCAGTACAAGAAACAAGTTCTCCTTGTGCACACATCTTTGTTTCCCCCTCTTACATCACCTGCTTTGGAATTTTATTTGAAAGAAGAGTGCAGCAGCAGAAATTCCAGGGAATCATTTGTGAAATTAATAATTTGTGCTGAAAGTTAGACAACTGCAGTTGATCTGTATCAGCTATCATCAGAGCAAATCCAGTAAGCAAGGCAGTGAGATCTGTCCCAAGCCATCACCTGGAGACTGTTTATTTGACTGTCTGAGAGAAGTGACCTTCTAATGACAGCTATGGAAAAGCAAAAATTTGTGTTGATCAGAGCTGAAGAGTTTTGAGCTCCTCACGAAAACACACAAACCTCAGAAGTGTTTGGATCAGCTCCACAGCAGAAACAACCAAAACACAATCTATAACACATGGGGGTTTTTTCCTCTTCTGCCAATAACACAGCAACAGGACCTCCCCATGGCAGCAGAATGAGAAACTTACTTGTAAGTGCTGCAAATTGGCTGAGTCCACAGCGAACATGAGCAACACGGATGTCTGGACTGAAGTCTGACCAGCCAAAAAGGCTGGGTGGGATCATCTCTGGCACTGATGTCTCTATTAGATTTGGTCCTTTCCCAAGAATTCCATATCCCCAGACAAAAACATTTCCTTCTTCTGTATTACAATAAGAACACATTCTGTAAGAAAGTCTGTGCTTGTGAAATTCACGCCACAACCAAGAGTTAATCAGAACCAAAGGGATATTTTCCTTTCTTCCAGTCAAATACTTTTTGATTATTTAAAAGCTGCAAATAATGCATTCCCATCCAAATGCCTCAATCTTTTCCTAAGCTATATAAGCATATCAAGCCTCCTAGGCAAAACTTTCATGGGGAAATAATGCAAACACAAGAGTTAGCTGGATAAAATACTTCAGCCTACTTCTCACTATAGGCCATGACAAACAAAAGAGGTAAGAGCAAACAGCTGCCATGCTCTTGTTCTAGTCTGCACACACTGGAAGCAATGTTCTGCACTAGTGAAAACAACTCCTCCAGTACATTCCTGTATCACGTTTCTCAGTCTCCCAGCTTTCCTCCTAACATACAGTATTACCCTGTTTCCAGAAAACAAGATACTTGTTTCATAATGTTACAATCCACCTACAGTGTGGCCTTGCACCAAAGCCAATGATTCTACAAGTGAACTCGCCTGTCAGCACCATGTTGCCAGTCCCTCCACAGGCAGCCTCCTTTACCTTCCCAATCTTGAATGGCAAATGCCTGGGAACATTCACCTGTACAAGATTGCAGAAGAGCAGTTAGAAACAAGGTAAACTGCAAACTAGATACATTTTAGCTTGTTCTTTAGCTCTAGTTAGAGCTTACATAAATTGGAATCGTGATACAACCTTTACTGACTGAATAATGCATGCAAGTCCCAAAATGAAAAAAACCTCTATGAATTCATTAAGGTGAGGACAAAGTGGAAGAAGTTACCTACAGGAAAGCTTACATGCGTGGCAACAAGGCTAAGAATGACTAATAACTGCTTCTTATCCCTGGGTTTTAAAAGTCACACACAATGGGGAAGTCAATAGGTCGCCTTCACACTGGATTAGATCACTAAAATTCAGTTTGCAGTGGCATTTTTGAACATACTAGGGAAAAGATTACTTAAAGAAAATGGCACTTATTTGGTACAGTCCAACACAACATACATACATTTGTAAAGAGCAATCTTCGATTTCACAGCTCTGCCATTCTACACTTTGGACTGCATCTGTATTTTAGCTAAGGCTCATTTTTGGTTCATCCATTTCAGATGCTGCAGAGCTCCGTTGCCCACCCAGCCGGGAAAACAGCTACACTGCAAAATCTGATCGTTGTCCTCAGGCCTTATGGGTCTCAGCATTCAGCCCTAGATTAAGGCTACATTTGGAGAGGCACAGGAAAAGCTTTCTAAAAATTTTGCTAAAGCTGTTCTAATACAATTGTCAGCTCTTAGCCTTCTGCCAAGAGTAGCTTGGGTATTGATTAATTTCCTGACTCCATTTCTTAAAGTAGCTGCAACATGAGACCAACTGCCTAATTACCTCAGTAATATAATGCCTAGTGTGAACTCAGCAATCTACCAGTGCCCCATGTAAGTTGGCTAAAAAAAACCTTTTATCTGTGAGACACTGGAATTTAGGACTCAAGTTATAAACCCACTAAGGATGCCCATGAAAAATTCACCAGCATACAGGTTGACTGGAAAGGACTTCCAAGAGCCATCTGGATCAGCACTATCCTCAAAGTAGGATCACCTGAAATCCTAGATTAGCCAGCCAAAAAAACTAATTCCTGTCCTGAAATCAGCAAAAGCACTTGGGCTGGGTCTCAATTTGGTGCAAAGTCCATGGGATGGAGAAAGAAGAATACGGAGTTCTTAGACTAACAAACTAGGGTGAGGTGACACAAACCTTTGCCTGTCAAAGTGGGAAAACATATTGTCCTCTAAAGCTACACAAACACGCCAGACAGGTTGGTTTTGTAAGCTTATGTAAAATCAGACTGCTAGTGGTGTTTGTATCTGCTGCCAAAAGAACCCAGAACAGGGAAAAACACGTAATTTTTAACTCTGCACAGCAGCTGAACTGAAAGACATAAATACATACCCCTAAGTCAACTGACCTGTGTGTTTTCTGTGACAGATGCCAACTGCAAGTATTCTGAATTTCCCCAGCCAAAGACATCTCCTTCATCTGAAACAGCCAGACAACAGTCCCCATAGGAAGAGACCTGGATTATGTTTACTCCAGCAATGTCCCCATGCAGCTTAGTAGGAACACTGGTGATGTTATAGTGTCCAAGACCTGAAAGGAAAAAAAGTAGAGATTATGAAGAATTTTTTTCCAGACACACTTTTAATGACTGCACAGGACCATTTCTGTCATGCTATAACAAAATCACCCTTCCTCTGAAATAATTTTTTCTGTCTATACTTCTTAATTACCAGCTGCAACAGACACCATTTTCACTAGCCAAAGCCACCTCTCTGGAGTACACAACAACTTTATAGAATTGCCCCCTGAAGAGTCTCATATCTCTTGTCTGCACTGACCAAAGTGTTTGAAGAACAATAACCAAGCCAGGCAGATATCCCATCAGAGATGAAGTTTCACAAACTGACTGCATCCTATCTTCTGCTAGGAGAGCCATGAGAGTCACAGCACACTGCAATCAGTCAAACAGCAGGGGAAATGGCAAAAGAGGCTGGGAAGAAAATGCTTTACATGACAAACTGCTGCCTGGAAAAGAGTCCAGAATGTAATGACAGAAAGCTGGGTTATACTATATTGGCACAAGAGAATTATGGGAAGAACTCAGCTTTGGGAGCAGCAGAACGAATAGAGAGTAGGAATTACTGAGAGGAGGAAGTTCTCTGCAGCAGAAGCCACCACAGAAAGGGCTCACACAAGGATCCCATGGTAAAACATGCAACAGCTACCAAAGTGTTTGTCAGTTCAAAAGTACAGAACAGCCCCAAAACAAGGAAGGCAAAGCCACCACCAAACTGAAGAGCAAAGCTGTCCATGTCACCTCCACATCCCCTCAAAAGCTTTAAACAGCAAATACACTCTCCTCCAGCTGCATGCTTGGATTGCCAGAGCACCATCCTAAAGGTCCTCAAAAGATGAACAGGATTGTCTCAGTTTAGTTACACAAGAGTACTGAAAATATCTACACACAACTGGAAACATCAGCAGCCCCTTTCTGTCCACACATGTATGACATACAGACATGACAACTTCTCAATTAGGGCAGCTTGCTGTATTCATCAGTACCCTGAAAAGCAAGCTGAGCTGAGTTCCTACCTGTTTGTCCATCAGCTCCCCATCCACATGCATAGACTGTACCTTTCTTGGTTCTAAACAGACTGTGGTCCTGCCCACACACAACCTGCACACAAACAAGAGGTCAGAGCTAGTCAGGAAAGGTCACATGTTCAGACTTGATTTAGTGAAGCATTACTGACAGATAAATTGAGCAATGAACCTCTATGATGTCCATCAGCTCAGACTTTGACCTTTCTCTCTTGATCACATGGCTCTAGAGAAAGGGAAGGCCAAGAACCACAAGACACAACACAGAAAACAACAGAAAACTACAGGGGCACAGACATACAAACTCCTCCTGTGCCTGGGAATACTGCAGCCATGGCAGGTGTTTCTGCTGCCCTGCAATCCCCTTGCTCTCCTAGGAACCTGACCCAGAAAAATGCTGGCTAGCCTAAGTGGATGGTTTTACAGCTCAGTTTTGAAAAGACAAAGACAAAATTTAAACTCCTAAGCAATATAAAAGTCACAATAGGGAAGAAATCACAACAGGAAGAGAGCAGTGGTGTGGAGAGCCTAGAAGTAGACACAGTAGTGTAGAAAAGAAGAATCATCTCCTTGACCTGTAGGTAACACTCCCCCTAATGCAGCCCAGGGTATCATTAGCCTTCTCTACAGCAAGGCACATGGTCAGCCTGATGTACCCTAGGGACTTTTCTGCACAGCTGCCTTCCAAACAGTCACCCCTAGCCCGTGGTTGTGTCTGAAATTGTTCTGCACCAGCAACAGGACTTAGCCACTTCCACTGCTGAACTTGATGAGGTTCATGTAGGCCCATTTCTCCAGCCTCTGGATGGCAGCACCACCCTCTGGTGTATCAGTCACTCCCCTCAGAGTTTTATGCCATCTGCTATCTGCTGAGGGAACACTCTGTGATCCAGATCACTAGTGAAACAGGATTGGAGCCCAGATCCCTGGAGTACTGAGCTGTTACTGGTTTCAACTTGGCACCCTCTGAGCTTGGCTGTCCAGCTGGTTTCCAATTCATCTTCAGGGCTGAGTTCAGATGATCCTCTTACCTGGACAACTCTGCTGTCAAATTCCTTCAGCTGATGAATGAGATGGCTTTCACTGGACACCAAACAACCACCAAGAAGAGAAAAGGCAACACAGAGGATTTCAGAAGACTGCAACTGAAAAACACAAAGGTAAACCTGCCTCTACTGAAAACCACTTTATTACCACAAGTAGAGAAATTTGTTCACATGTAGTTTCACCATAAAATGAAGAGGGAACATAATTCTACATTCTCTTATTTAAGAAGTTAAGAACTGTCACTTTTAAAATATAAGCTCTTGTAATAATTGGGGGTAAGAGCAACCCTCAAAGACAGTCCCTAACCTAGAATGAGCAGAGACACTAAATAACACTGCAATACCCATAGGAACACTACACTTGGCTAGAGGTATGCCAGGTATCCCAGAGCACAGTGTAGTGCTAACATCCCTGCAGTTTTTTCACTATACCAGGAATTATGAACAATACAATGACTGACTTTCAGTATCAAGAGTAATAAAAGCTACCTAATTACAGATATTTTCTCAAACTTTACAGACCAAGCGTTGTGGATCACAGACAGAGCAATGAACAAGAATTTTTTCTGGTCCTACTAGGGAATCAGAAACTCAACATATTCCCACTATTATTTACTCTGTCATACAGAGCACTTTGAGCATATGCTTTAGTGCAACCCACAAAAAACCCAGTGAAGGAAAAGCACTACAGACTCAGCAGAGACTTAACAAAAGGACGCTTCTTCTGTAGTTAAATGGCACTTCCAGCATCCTCAGGAACAGCACATGTACTCTGAGCAGCCAAAAGGAGAAAGCACAACTACTAACACAAATTACCTAAAGCAATTTATGAAGGCTGGGTTCTCTCATTATGCCCTGCAAGAACTATCCCATGCTGACATTCTTTTGTCTCTTGTCAATGTGGTAAGCAGAGTGCTAGTGCCCAGCCTGGGTTCAAAGCCAGGCTGCTTGTATGATGCCTGCAGTACAAAAGCCTGATCTCAGACTCCTGAATCTTAAATGGCATGCTTATACTACCACACCTTTTCCATCTTCAGGCTTTTCTGCAGGGTTGTTTTCATGCAATTATGTTTCCAATATTAAGAAAGTTCAGGATCTTTGAATTCTTACCTGTAAATTTCATCTTCAACAACCTTCCGGCCACACTGTCCATAAGAATTGTTTCCCATTGTGAAAACTGAAAAACAATGATAAAACACTCTAGCTTTATTACTGCCCAATCCCCTGAAAGCCTCTTTTCAGGTCCACAAAGTATTTTCACACAGTTCTAAGTCTGAAAGTTGGAGCACAGCAATGTAAAAATTGGCATAAGCTTTTTTCAAAGGACGTCCACTAGAATTAAAGTGACTGAATCCATTTTCACCAACACCACCCAGCAGTATTGTTGCAGGCACAGCAGGAGTACCTGAAGCCCACTGCCTGTCACAGTCAGCATTGCCTGGTTCACCCTGCTGTTGTCAGAGACTTAGATCAGCATTCCCACAGGAGTGGGAATCAATGAACCAACCAGTGCACCCACTAAGAAGCTGCACTGGATCACTTGGTGCAGCACTGCATCAGAGTTCCCAGGGACGTGGAGAGACAATTCAACAGGATCTTTTCTATAAAGAATTATTAATTAATTAATTGCTGTTATAAACATAGCACTCTGGGGCTTCACAGGGAAGTAACACAGGAGTACTGGCATAGTCACCCAAATCTGTGTTCAAAAAAACATCTGAGTGAACAAGACAAAAAGGCTGCACTCAGCCAGGCCTGGGGCTGGAGAAACAAACCTTGGAGTAAAAAGCTCCCAACACATTTACAACTTAAGCTAAGTGAAGCTCATGGCTTTGCCTTGCAGAAGCAATCCTACAAGGCCAACAGCTGCCTGCATCCCATTTACAGTGCAAAAACCCACCTGGGATATAGTTCTAAAAGACAGAAGACAATTTTTCCCAAGCTTTTAGTAAAAGCATAGTCAGGCTCCCCTTGACATCATCAGCACAAGCAACACTGTACCTCCTTCATTATCTGTCAGGACCAGGGAATGGGCTCTCCCACAGGACACTTGCAAGACTCGAGTTTGCTGTGGCTTCTCCAGTGGTAATGGAATTGGAGATGGTTCCAAGACATATTCATAGCCCTTAGCTTAAGGAAGAGACAACAATTTTAAGACAGTAGCTTCCACAAAGTAAATTCAACATGTATTTGCTGACCCTGTTGTACATTCACACACTCACTTCTGCTTTAAAAAATTAAAACAAAAAAATTAAAAAATTAATTAAAAATTTACACATGGTCTTTTGCGGGAAGGCACTAGTGGATGTGAGGGCAGCAATGAGCAACACATGTACCACAGGCATACTGCAGTGTCACCCTGTAAGTCTTTAAAACACTTAAATGCTTACTTTGATCTCTTCTGCTTCTCTGGAATCCAAGCTGGGAATCCTTGTTGAGCCCCATGCCCCACACCTTGGTGATGTCTCTGGTATTAGAAGCCAGCAGTGTGAATCCATAACCACAGGCAGCAGAGGATATCTTTGAAGACACACAAAACCATTCAGTCGGAAACTGTGGCTTAGAAAAACAAGTTTCACCCCACACCTGTTCATCAGCATTCATTTTTCATTAAGACACATTCACATGCAGCCCAAATTTATGGCATGTGTGGTCCTGCAAAAATTATCAGTCTTCTGTGATAAGTACAATGGTGAAAACTCAGGTCCAACCTTTCTGCCTCAAAGTTTTGGTTTTGTATGCATACATCTTTATTTCTGCATTATCTTGGGCCCATTCAACACCACAGAAAGACGTGTTTGCTGACCTGCATCAACAGGTTATAAAAACAAACAAAAAGCAAACAAAAATACAAACAAACAAAAACCAAAAAAGCAAAAACCCAAACCAAACTAAGATATAGAGATATTAAGAGAATAACATGTTTTACTTCTTTTGACAAAAAAAGCCCAACATAAGAGCCACATGAAGAGCAACTGTGGTCACTTGGACTGTGGAGAAATGGAGACTGAGGTCAGATTCACTGGAGTCTGCAGCTCCGACCTCTGCTCTGGGACCAGGGACAGGACACGAGGGAACCGCTGGAGCTGTGCCAGGGGAGGTTTAGACCGGGTACCAGGAAAAGGCTCATCCCAGAGGATGGTCAGGCTCCCCAGGGAATGGGCACGGCCCCAAGGAAAACTCAGGTGCAGGGTGGGATTGTTGGGCTGTCCTGCGTGGAGTTGGACTCCACGAGTCTCTTCCAACTCAAGATATTCTATGAATGCCCCTTCTCTGCACTAGACAGCAGAGCACGCGTGAAACATGTAGGCAAAAGAATAACTTAATTTTCAACACAATGTCCCGTTTGTCAAGTGCGAGCAGCCCCAGAGCCACTGGCAGAGGCCAAATATATCTGGCAAATGCTCTTCACACCCTGGCTCTCTAATGCCTCTAACAAAATTACAAACACATATTTTCTAAACTATATGCTGCTGCAGTTAACACAGTAATCATCCCAAGCAATACCACAATATCGATAAAAAACACTGAATCATGGCAAAGCCTTTAAATCCGATTCAGTAACGCCGTTCTCGGTTGTGCTAAGCCCCGACCAAGCTCCGGAGGCCAGGGGAGACACGATGGCATCGGGCCCACCTTCTCCTGTGTCTCCAGACGGTACGGCGTGGTTTGGATGCGCCGCGGCTTCTTCCAGCTCGCGTCCGGCTTCACGAAGCTGGGGATGCCCAAGGCGCCCGAGAAGCTGAAGCCCCACACGAACACGCGGTCGTTGCGCTTGGCCGCCTTCCCCACGTACTGGAACACCGGGGCGGCCT